AAGTGGACTCTTTTTAGTAATTAGAAATACTCTTTAGCCCTGGCTGTTGTGGCTCAGTGGACTGAGCACCTGCCCAAGAACCGAAATGTAGCTGGTTCAATTCCCAGTCAGGGCACATGCCTGGGTTGTGGGCCAGGTCCTTGGTTGGGGGCATGTGAGAGAACACCAATCAATGTTTCTCTGGCACATTGATGTTTCGCTCCCTCCCTCCTTTTGCCTCTCTCTAAAAATAAATAAACAAAATCTTAAAAAGAAAAAAGACTTAGCTGAGAGAGCCTGACTGGATAGCTCATTTAGAGCATCCTCCTGAATGCCGAGGTTACAGGTTCAATCTCTGGTCAGGGCACATATAAGAACCAACCAGTGAATACATAAATAAGTGGAACTACAAATCTCTCTCTCATCAATAATTTTTAAAAATTAAAAATAATTGAAATTTAAAAAAAAAGAGCTGAAATATCACCTCTTCTGGAAAACCTTCCTAGATTCCCCCAAGCAGAGCTAATAGCTCCTGCTTCTAGGCCTCCAAAGCACTATGCGTACAAAATGACTACCTCACTTGCCACTCAGCAGAGGTCTTGCTTTCTCTGAAAATTAGTCCACCCCCAGCCTCCAACAGCTCTCTACACTTTATTTTTATTTGAATGTCTATTGCCTGCCAGGGTACAGGTTTGCCCTGTGGGTAGTTTCCCAAGGGAATAAAAGACCTAGAACTATATCTGAAATCTCATGATTTAAGAAAAAATGTTATTTATTTATTTGTAGAGAGAGGGCAAAGGAGTGACAAAGAGAGGGAGAGAAATATCAATGTGAGAAAGAAACATCAATTCCTAACTGGGAATCAAACATGTGACCTTTGGCTTTGCAGAACGATGAAAAACCAATTGAGCCACACTGGTCAGGGTTGAAATCTCCTGGTTTTTAAATATTAGTGAGTAGTTCAGAACATTTAAATCTTTACTGGCCCATAATCCAGGCATGTGGCATGTGCTCTCACGGGGAACCAAATCAGCAATCTTTCAGTTTGTGGGACGACACCCAACCCACTGAGCCACACCAGCCTGGGCTCTCAGCTAAGTGTTGATGGATGAATATAAAGGAGTTTTTCAAGAAATAGGGTGGAATGAAAAGATATTCCTAACATGGACAGGGTAAGGTTGCAAGGAAATGCATGGCATGATGGAGAATTGATGACATGTTCTTGTGGGACTAAGTATAAGATACAGGGTTGGGAATAATCAGTTAGAAACTGGTAATGTAGACTGTGGCCAGATCCATTGAATGACTTGGAAGTTGATCTGGAAAGCAAATGAAGCAATGGAGTATTGTGGAGGAAGGAAGGACATTGTTTAGGTGATGTTATCAAAGGCTTACTCTGATGCCTATGGCAGGGACGGGCTGGGTAGGGGAGAGACTAGAGGGCTGCAGGACAATAACCGATTCTAAGGGGAGAGGTCACATTCTATCCTTCACCCCATATTTGGCAACTAAGGTAACTCCTCAGCAGGTCAAGAGAAGTGCTCCCAAAGAAGAGAGGACCTGACTCAAGTAGTTCTTGGCTTGGAGGGCCAATACCTATGCAGCAGTGAGTGCATACTTTGTTCTGTCTGCCCATCAGTGAATGTACCTCACAGGTACATCACCACATCAGGGGAAACACCTCACTTGGGAAAACCAATTATACTGTAAATGCATTGTACCTAAGCAAACCTTTACATATAGGTCTTACACAGTACATTAAATTATAAATACCTTTTGGCTTGTACATCTTCCATCCTGGGTCTGAGCAGCCTCTGGCAAATAATATGCGTTCAATGAACTTTTATTAATCTGAAACAGGGACATTTCTATAGGATCTGGGCAGATGCACATTCACCACTGATCCTAAATGAGACCCAGAGAACTGTGTTTTCTAACAATGAAAATTTGCATGGGATTTAGTCAGAGGCCTTAAATTTTTCAGTCTTGGTTCATCCACTTAGGAGCCCTGTGGCTGTGGACAAGCCTCATAACCTAGCTGAGACTCAATTTGCTTTTCTACTTTTTTAAATCCTCCCTCATCCGAGGATATATTCATTGGCATTACAGAGAGAAGGGGGCGGGGAGAGAGAGAGAGAGAGAATGAATTATCGATGTAAGAGAAAAACATCAATCAGTTGCCTTAGTACGTGTCCTGAACCTGTAACCTAGGTATGTGCTGTGAACTAGAACTAAACCTCGATTCTTGCGTGCATGGGACGACACTCCAACCAACCAACCAAACCACACTAGCCAGGTCTTGTTTATGCAAACTGTAAAGTACTATATGACCCAAAATGGTCTATCCATAAAATGGAACACGATTCATCTATAGAAAGGAAGTACTGATACATGCTATCACATGGACAGATCTTAAAAACATTATGCTGGGTGAAAAAGAGCTAGACACAAAAGTTCACTTATTGCATGATTCAATTTATGTAAAATGTCCAGAATAGGCAAATCTATAGATACAGAAAGCAGATTAGTGGGGAGAAGGGAACGGACCTTGATTGTTGAATGGGCATGAGGTTTCCTTTGGGGATGATGAAAATGTTCTAGAACTAGAGAGTGGTGATGGTTGCACACCACAGTGAATGTAATAAATGCCTCTGAATTGTACACTTTAAGATGATTGAAATGGTAAATTTTACGTTTATGTATTGTATCACAAAAAAAAAAAGCAAAAAAGTGCTATATGAGAGTCAATCATCCTGAGTTGCTGATTCTTGCATTCTACATGCAGCTCCAATCCATTTTTTATTGTTCAGAAAACTTACTGAGTGGGTGCATCTGTACTAAGAAGGCTCTTTTGGAAGAGGAGCTACAGTAGGGGTGGAGAAGGGAAGGTGTAACTACAGGCCATCTAAAAGGGAAGCTGGATGGTATTTGTTTCGCAGATTGCCAGTTGTTCACCCTGTTTGTATTTAAATGAAAGGAGGCTTTGAAGTGGGAGCCGCCTCTGAGCAGAGCTTGGGGTTTCTGCCCTGTGTGGTAAAGTTCAGACTTGTCCAGATCCGTTCTTAGCCAGAAGATACTGTTTCTGGTGGAAAAGGCTCAACTTTTGGTTAATAGTACATGAACAGAAAGAGCAGGAGTAAACTGGGAGGAAAGGAATGACGGCCCCCTGGACTTGGTGTGAAAAGAGAAAAGAAACTTTTTGATTGGGGCTTCACGGTTGGGCCTTCAAGTGTCTTTTCCTTACAGTCACTGGATTTTATTTTATTATTAATGTTGGCCTTGTGTCAGATTATAGTCTCTTTGGTAAAGGACATTTTTAAGTAAATGCATCAATCAGTGAAAGTTAAAAGTGCTGGGCTAAGCCCTAGCAATGCTGTGAGGACTTGATAGTTATCAGCTTGAGGGCAACCTGTGCTATTTGAAAATCCCTCAGAAATGGCTGGAAATTCATTTGTAGTTGAGTTTGCATATTTTCAAAAACTCTCCTCCTTGCAGAGTTATGTGTTCTGCCAATCCACAAAAATTCTATTCCAAGCCCCACTTGTAGACAGGTCACAATCTTTCCGTTTGTCCTGGTGATCTCCAAGAGCTAATAAAATGTAGAAGAGTCTGCAGTGGGCATTCAAAACAACAGTAATGCTAGTTTCTACATCTTCTCTGTCAACCTTGTCAACGTGGTTCACAAACAACAGTGGAGGAAGTCTCAACAAACCCTAGGAGGATGATAATTGTAATGATGGTTCATACCTTCACCCCATGTAATTTTATGGGAATTGAGAGTCTAGCCAAATAATAAGTTCCAGCCCCTTTTATCTGCCCAGTTCCCAGCGCACTCCGGAGGTGTCTGATGCACTTCCCACTGTAACCTCTTAAAGCAGATTGTAACAATAACAACTGCAATGACAAATTCTCAATCTGCACAGTTCCTTCATTAAAGGAGCCCTGGGAGCCTCAAAAACACTCATTAATGGAATATAACAAAGCTTCGAATGAGGGAAGACTTGCCCATTTCCATTTTTCTGACGGTTAAGGGGAGACTGGGTCCCAGAATGGTGAGGCTAAATAAGAATTGGGGATCTTGGGCTACTTTTATTCCCTGTGACCCAGGAGTTGAATCCGCGTTTTGGACCCCCATCCCCTAGCTGCATGTTATCAGTAAGTTGTTACCCTTCTCTGGGCCTTAGTTTCCCTACGTGCAGAAGGCTGGTTTGGGCCAGGATTCTAAGGTCAACGCTAACTTGGTTCCATCGCCTCGCAGTTGGTCCCCGTGCCCACTTCAAGGTTTAGAGAAGAACCAGGGTTGAGCAGAACCAGGCGCGTTGGAGATGGGTGGAGACCAGGAGACAAATGCAAGCCAGGGTTCCGAGGAAGGCGATGCTCCAAGAGCACCGTTTGATGGCAAGAAGGTCTGAAGAGGCCAGGTGTGGAGGCTTTAGGGCCAGCTTTGAGTCTCAAGTCCCCGTGGTGCTTGGAAGAGAAACAATGCGAGTAATTCTGTCGCTTTCCCTTGACCCAGGAACTGAGCGGTTAGGAGCGTCCTCCAAGCAGCGGGGCGGGGGCGCAGGGGGCTGGGGCAGGTATCAAGGCTAGAGGGTTTTCGCCGGGCTTTGGCCCACAGGCAGCGGGTCAGGTGGCCGCGCGCAGAAGGCCTAGGATTCAGACGTGGGCTTTAGGACAAGTCCCCATCTGCTCGGTCCCCCAGGGCTTGAGCCCTTTACTCCGGAGAAGTTAGCCTTTCCTCTTTGGACGGGGGCGCGGCGGGCAGGCTCCCCGCCTCCCCGGAGGAGAGGAGGAAGGAGGAGCCCGGCGGGGCGTGTCTCTGGAGGGAGCGCCGCGCGCCCGGTGCGGCCCCCTAGGAAGTGGATTTAGCTACTCCAGATCCAACCCCACTTCCAGGTTTTCTCCCATCCCGACCTTACCATCTCCCGCCCGTCTCCGGCCCCCCCGTCGCCCGCCCCCACCCCGTGTGCCGCCCGCTGGGCCAAGTTTGCCGAGCGTCGCCGCGCACGCCGGCCAGTCAATCAGCGGCGGAGCTGTGGAGGGTACAGCCGCGCGGCCGAGGGCACAGTGAGCGAGCCGAGTGGAGTGAGAGAAGAGCAGAGCAGCGCCGGGCAGCCCGGGCCGCGCGCAGGGAGCGCCAGCCGCCGCTGCTCACACCTTCCGCGGCCCCCGCGGAGCCTGCCACCGTTCACTCCCTCCCCGCGTCCCCGTCCTGCCGGCCGGCCAGCTCGCCCCGCTCACCACTGTCCTCGCGGAGCTCCGAGGTCACCGGTCCGCGCCTCCGCTCCCTTGGGCCACGCACCGCCTCTACGATCTCCTCCTTCTTCTCCCCCGGCCGGACGCCTGGCATCGGGGACCGCTGCCTGACGCGCGAGGCCCAGCTCCACTTTCCGTCCCGCGTCTCCTCCTCCTGCCGCTCTCCCCTTCCTCCAACTCCTATTTCAACTCCCACGCCCTCTCGCTCCACTCGCGAGCCCCGGGGTCAGCGCCCGCCACTTTTCATCCCATCGCGAAGGTGAGAGCGCGTCTGTCCTGCCGGCACCATGGCACGGTTCGGCTTGCCCGCGCTTCTCTGCACCCTGGCCGTACTCAGCGCTGCGCTGCTGGCTGCCGAGCTCAAGTCGAAAAGTTGCTCGGAAGTGCGACGTCTCTACATGTCAAAAGGCTTCAACAAGAACGATGCCCCAACGCATGAGATCAACGGTAGGTGGGATCCCCTGAGGGAGAAGCGCAGAGACGAGTATTCAGAGAAGGGACCACGGAAGCCCCGCGTCCTGCCGCCCACCCCCCGCGCCAGACGCAGGTAGCCTAGAGGGAGAGCTCGAGAGCCGAGCCCTAGCAGCGTAGAAGGTTCCTGTGGACGCGGCAGTCCCCGAGGCGCTGCAAGTGGTGGGGAGCCGCCAAATTGCCCGGTGCCACTCCTGCGGTTTGCCCCCTCATTCCCCGTAGTCTTCCCGGTCCCAGGAAGTCCCAGAGGACTCTGGTCTGCAGAGTGCGCGTCACCCGCTCCCTTGCCTTTTCCGGGTTGAACTTATTACTGAGCTCCCCGCTTTGTTGTGTGGGTGAAGAGAGCCGGGTGGGGGTGGGTGGAGGTCGCCAGAGGAGTGGTGGTGGGGAATCTTTTACAAGTTCCCAGGTTCCAGGGAGCGCAAAACGTGGAACTTGAATTGATGTTTCACTGATGTTACTTAAAAACTCTCTCCCCATTTCACTCCCACCGTTGACACGGACTAGTCTAGTAGATAGAGCGCTTTTAGGAGTAGTCTTTAAAAAAAGACTCTCCATCCCTTCAAACCCGACTTTGGGGAACTCTTCTTTTTTTGGAAGGTGTTGGACGAGAAAGGTATTTCCTCCCCTTTCTTTTTCTCGCCTCATTTTAAGGGTTAATTGCACATTGAATTACAAACCTTTGAAAGGACTGATTACAGGAAACCTGAGTCTGTGCTAGGAGATGGTTATGCAAATAGCACTGTTTAGCCTGTGAAAAAGTTCACCGGATTTCGGCTCTTGGGGGTTCGTGGGGGTGTTTGTGAAAGCTCTTCTTGGAGTGCTGGGGAGGTAACTTTCCGGCTGGCGCCCTTAAAACTTCACCTTTCGAGGCCGGCTGAGGTGGTCGGGTCGGTCCCCTTCGGGTGGCACTTTCTCATTCTCAGAAGCCAACTGTTGCGTGCAGCCCGGTGGGCCAGCGGTGGCGCAGGTAGCCGATTTGCCTGGAGGGTTCAGAAAGAACCTCGAATCCACTGGCTGGTGGCCAGCGTAACCTAACGTCGAAGTGAGCGATTTGAGCCCCGGGGCCAAGCCTCCATTCCGAACCTTTCATGGAAGTGAGCAGAGCACGCCTTTCCCCCTAGGTGTTGGTCACTCGGGCGGGGAGGGCTGGGGGCCCGGCAATTGGCGAAGGAAATACTGTAATTTCAACCAGGCACTTACAAAGGCTTAGGAAGACTAGGGGGTCATTTTTTGGAAGGACTATTAATAACCTGGCAGATTAAGTGCAGTCATCAATTACATATAACTTGCAAAGGTAACTGAGGGAAGGTGCTGGACACCTTATGAGTGTAGCTGGCATCTATCTAGAAATAGAACCCAAGAAGTTGTTGGTGCACCCTAGAAGCCCACTGCACCTTGGCAGTTATCAAATAACTTGCAGGCTGTACTGATTAGAAACTGTTTGCTCTCGAGCTGCTGGTCTTTTTGGGAGCTCAAGTATGTCCTCACAGGGGCACGATTTTATTGGTTGTAGAGCCCTGAAAAGCCCTCTTTCTTTCCACTCTCCCTCCCACCCAGCCAGAAAAAGTGAAGTGAACCAACAGTCACTGAAGCTTGGGGGCTCTGCAGGTCAGATCTGGGGTCTTTGTGCCCTGCACGGTTTGGGCCCTAGCCCAGCGGAGATGATTGGCGTGAAGGTTACAGTTGTCATTCCCACATTTTGAAGGGATAGATGCAGTGATGCACTTAATGGGAATGTGACAAGTTTTCATCTTCTGCTCATGCAAACAATATGTGCCTTTGAGATGGACTGGAGGCATTCAGGGAGTAGGTTGTGAAACGGCCCTCCCCACTTTCTCCAACTTTGCCCTGTGCAGTCTTGCAGCCACAGGACATCTTCCCCAGCCAGCTTCTCAGGGAAAAGGAAGTTTGATGGGTCCTCAAGGGCTATATTAGGTGTTCCCTTTGATTGTCATGATGTCCAGAAAACACCTGAGGAATATTTTTGCGTGTGTCCACTGGACATTTTCCCTCCAAAGATAGAAGAGTTATTAGTGATCAGCAGCAGGAAATGGAAGCTAATGTGCTCACACCCAAAACATTTTATTCTTTTTGTCTTGTCCTTCATCTCCCTCCCAGGGCTGCTGCTTTTATTTCCCCTTTTGAATGACCTACTGGACTGCATTCTCCTAAGGAACAAAGGAAGTGCCTTTTTAGCTGGAATCCTTGGAAGACCACCAAGGATTTTAGCTCATGCAGTGCAATTTCGCACCACTTTCAACAATAACAAAAATGCATGACTGAATGGCTCAAAAATGTGGAGTGTTAGAGGCATTCATTTGAGTCTAGGACACTGTCACAACACAGACAGACTCAAGTAAATACCTTTGGACGGCCAGTATAGAAACAGGGGTAATCTTTACCATTGGCCTGGCCTCTCAAGATGCATACATTAGCCTTATCTTCCCTAGGCTACACTCAGATAATTTTGGTCATTTGGGGGAGTATAGTCAACATAATGACTTGTATTCAACCTGTGTTTGAACTAATTAATTGTCAGGCACTTTCCCTGGTTGGGGGTGGGGTGGGGTGTGTGTGTGTATAGATATGCAAAAAGTTCAGGGTCACAGTGTATGGGTACCTAGCCTCAGGCTTAGCTCAAGTTTAAGGTTTTGTTCCCAAGGGCCTTGCACTTGCCTTCTAAAGATTTGAACAGGCTTTAAGAATACTCCATATTCTTAAGTGCTCTCAGTCTTTTTAGATCATAATTAAGATAATTTGATATGCTCTCAAGGGTGTTGGGGAAGTATATCATGCTGACAGCTTCCAGTTGAAGTCCTGCATGTACCCCCATACTTAGCAAGTAATGGGTAGCCCAGATGCCGTGATCACAAGGGATCTTTAACACAAAGTAAAGGTTTTTGTTTAGCTTTCAATGGGCATATTTTTTTGGAGTTCCTACTATGTGCAATATTCTGTGCTTGGCATAGTGGAGGAAAGAAAGGCAAGAGGGGTCTCTGCCATCAGGACCTTTCCAGTTAGTAGAAAGACAAGCCATGCACACACATAATTGGGATATAACATGGTGTGTGATAAGTTCCATGTGAGTGGAACAGATGAGGAGAAAGAAGTGCCCAGGAAGTTCCAAGGGAGGATAGATTTGGGACTCAGGTATTACCTAGGTAATGCTAGTTCACTAAAATAAAGTAATATTAATAAGAAACTTCAAAACTTAACTTTTTTGTGCCTTCCTTCATAAAGACAGTTGAAATTGTCCTTAAGAGTAAGGCAGTTGGTTAGAAATGTTCTTAAGCTTGCTGAAGTTCCCTTACATAGTGACATTGAATGATGTCAATAAGAACTATGTGTCATAGTTGTGATTTTGGATTTTTTTTGTTTTTTTGTTCCCATTTATGGTCATGAGCAATGCACCTGTGAGTGCACTGGTGCACGCACACACATACACAAATAAATACCCCAAAGGATTCTGGGAATGACATAAGCTATGTTAGGATTACATGGGAAAATGTGTGTGAGGGAGAGGTAGGAATACTTTCTGATACTGAGTTGATTATTACATGTAAGACACACAGCATATGTCTTCAGGATTTGTATCCCTTCTTCTCCACTTTAAGTAGATGAGTTGGATTTTGCAGAGACCTTGTGATGCACTTTTTTGGAATCATCAGTTTGATTCCTTGTGTTCCACTTGAGAAGAGGGTCTAATTTTGAGCCACAGGGCCTGTCAGTATAGAAATTGTCCCAAGCAGTAGTATAGGAACTACCTTCTGGACATGCTCATAAAACAACAACAAACAGTAGTAGTAAGTTCTGGTTTATGTAGTTCAATCTCCAGTTAGAACATACAAATATCAAATGTTTGATTTAGCATAATTACTATTTTCTTTCTTATTAACTCATGTTGGGTTGCATGCAATTTCAGGATTAGCTGGAGACTAGACTGAGGAATGAGAAAGGAAGTTTTTGTTATCTTTACAAGGGAAACAACAGCAGTGCTAACCAAAATCAGTTGGAAGTGTGTCTCTGGCTCCCCAGTAACAGTAACTGTTTTACTACTGGGGTTGTTTCCATATATGTCCACAAAAACATGCATTTTGGCCGCATGAAAAGAGCTAGTAACTATTGAGTGCTTTCTCTGGGCCTGGTTCTACCCTAAGGGATTTACATGAGACCCATTTGTAATCCACAGCAACCATATGATGTTGGAATTACTACCTTCATCACCCTCATTTTACAGACCAGAAAACAGATCCAAAGGGATTTATAAATATATTGTCTCACAGCTAGTGAATGGTAGAGGTGGGATTTGAATCCAGGCCTTGCCTGACCCAGAGTATAGCCTGTGTTATGTTGTACAGATAGTGAGACAAGAAAGTACCTTCCAACTCCCATGAGGGTTGGTTTTACAAATAAAGCTGTGAGAGGACCATCAATTAACTAGTAAACCATCATCACATCACTATTGTGATGCTGTAGTAGAGAGGATTCAAACATGTCCTTTGTAGGCAACCTGTTATACCCAGACATAGGCAATCTAGTGTTAACAGTAGAAGCGATATATCACAAATTGTAATTCCTGGGCCATGTGGAGTCAGTGATGGTTTCTGAGGAGGTAAATGTTATTAGTTAAGCTGTTTTTGGAAAATAGCTAGTGGCCCTGCTAGTTAAGATTGTTGAGGCAAAGGGGGAATAAAAGCAATGAGAGCTGTTAAGTGAGCTGTTTTAAATAATTCTTAACTGGTCTACCTGCCATTGTCTTTTACTCTCCCATTCCATCCTGCACGTTGCCAGCTTCATTTCTTAACAGCAGTGTTTTCCATGGAGTCATTCCTCTGCTCTGAGCTTCCGTGGCTCCAAGTATCTCGAATGATACTTTCATTGAGTTACTTCTGAATTCCCCAGGGTTATGTATCTTCCTAATTCCCTGCTTGAGTTAGGTCCATGATCTTTGCACATAACTGTGTTGTATTAAT